AGGACCCCTGCTTTCATATGAGTGAATGCTGTTTAGGTACTATCGCGACCTGCCATTTTGCTGGTTTGTCACCACCTTTGCTTTTGTTACTTTCAATAAAGTATGCACAAGTCAGTATTTTGTATGGTACATCGTCTTTCTGCCCTTGATTGTGGACAGAATAAAGGTAAATTGTAAAACTACGTAAATTTTTTCACTTTTCGAAGGTTTGCTTATTCAGATGACAACGAATGAAACAACACGCCTCATCCTGATGTGGTTCGCAAGCCAAGCAGTATGGCTCTTCTTTGCCTACCTCTACGAGTTTCGAGGGTGGCAAACTTTGGAGCTGGTATTTGTGGCTTCAGTAGGATTCCTTCTGACCAACATCTATGTACTTGTCAATGTACTTAATGCATACACGGGAATGACCGATTCTGCCAAGGCTAAGAAGGCTTAAAACTCAACAAAAAGTTGCCCGCATTGCTGAGCTGAATTGATATTTTCGACATGGTATTTTGAATGCCACAGTAGCATTGATCTCAAATCACATTTGTAGAGCCTCAAAATCTTAGCGAGATTTATGACAGTCATCCATTGAACGCTTTTGATTAGGTACTTCTCTGTATAAGAAGTCCAGCTCCTCACCTCAGAGTCAGTCCACCTCCAAATAATTGGTGAAACCAGTGCGAGAAATCGAGAATTTTTTGAAATTTTTGATATCAACTGAACAGCATGGCTACTTCCCCATGTGCCCAGGAAAGGAATGTGTAGCGTTAGCCGAGCCTCCAAATAAATCTGAGACAATTTTCGCGAAATTATGCATCGATTTCCATATCCCTAGTCCAATTTGCGATATATCTCTTACTATCCATTTTCTCTTGTTGAATTGAGCACGGTGAAACGCTCCAATAGATATCTATTCTCGTGCCAACCATAATTTTACTTCGCTAAATGTTCCACAGGTATGCGATGATAGCCTGCTCCTGCTTTTGTTTAGTCAATGTTATTTATGACGGTGTTTGAGAAATTGATGTGATTTTTGGTTGTGTTGAATCTTACGTTGAAGCAATAAAGTTATTGAAACTGCCTTTGATTTTCTGGCAGTCTTAAGTAGGTTTCTACCTTTTGTTTCTAACGCTGCAGGACATATTCCAATTTTTGATACATTGATGCACAG